TCCTTCCGCCTCAGCCTTCCAAGTAGCTGGAACTACAGGTGTGCACCACCATGCCTGGCTAATTTTTTTATTTTATTTGTAGGGACAAGGTTTCGCCAAGTTGCCCAGCCTGGTTTCGAACCCCTGGGCTCAGGCAATCCTCTTGCCTTCACCTCCCAAAATGCTGGGATATCAGGCATGAGCTACCATGCCCAGCTGAGCCATCTTTTTTTTAAAAGTAGAAATATAAAAGTTCCTGTGCCGACCTTGGGGAGCTCTAGCAGGCAGACAGGGGAGTGTCTTGCATGGCTGGAGGGCGTCCTGGTTTAAACCCTGACTCTGCCACTGTCCAGTTCTGTGACCTTGCCCTATGTGACATTTTCTGGGTACTTTGTTTCCTTCCTCTCTAGAATGGGGATGCTGGGCGGAACCCAAGAGGGCCAGGAGCAGAGGGAGGCACTCAGCCCGGCCTATGCAAGGTTTGGCGAGTAGAGGCAGGCATGCAGACTGTACACATCACCTGCCCCTGCTAAGACACGCACTGAGGGCCTGCTGTTTGTGGGGGCTGCACCAGGCCCTGCAGCCACACATGAGTTCTTGGATGATGCAAGTGCGTGAGGCACTTTAAGAAGTCATAGGAAGAGAAGAAAGCATGGGGACCCCTAATAGACCCATTCCTCACAGCCTGCAGACAGCAGGCTGTCACCAGGATGAGCACTGGAAAGTCCAGACCCTGAGCCTTAAGTAGCACTTGGCCTCCACACCTGCCTGCACCCCTCATGATGGCCACAGCAGCCCCTGCTCCCCTGCCTCACAGAGCTCAGGCGTGTCCTGCTGACAGTCCATTGGGTAGGCATCTCACCATGGTGGAACCAGTGACAAGAGCTAGGGATGCTCGTGCAGAGGGGCAGGGTCACACTGGTGACAGCTGGATGCTGTGCCAGATGGAGGGGGCAGATCGTGAACAAGTACAGCTGCCCATCAGGACTCAGGACTTTGCCACATCCTCAGCCCTTGCTGGGGTGTCTGCCAGGCCACACCGGCAGCTCTGGCCGCTGTCACAATCTCACTGCCTTTTCCCCGCACCCTAATGTCAGAACTTTCCTGCCTCCTGCAGTGACACCCTTTCCCTTCATTATGTTTGCATCTTCTTGGCAAAATCTGTGGACCCCAAGACCTCAGCTCTCGTCGGCTGGGTTTTCATGACTGGCCTGAGAGAATCCAGGGGACGAGGATGTCCCTGCCTGGTGACGAGGCCAGCAAGACCCCTGCAGCCCCAGCCCACCTGGACAGGCACTGCAGACATGCCCTGCAGGGAGGAGGGGCCCAGGTTCTGGCAGTCACCTGCGGCGGAAGGTGCTCTTGACTGTTGATGCCCCAGTCCGGGAGATGCACCACGCCGTGCCACCACATTCCTGGGCTGTGGGAGCTCGTGCACACTTGGGTGCCCTGCCTGGGAGGGATGCTTGTGTCACCCAAGCTGAAGGAGGGAGCAGCTGCAGTGCCTGGACCCTCCCAGGCCTCACAGAGATGCTACCGAGAGCCCCCATGGGCTCTGATTGCAGACTGGGAAGTGTGTGATCAGGAGCAGGGCGATGGGGTCAGGAGGCCCATGTGGGGCCTAGCCCAGCCCCCACAAGGATACCCATGGAAGGTTCAGCTTGAGCATCAGCTTCTTCCTCAGAGAAGTAGAGGTGTGCAGAGCCTTGAGTGTGTGTGGGGCCGGGCACGGCCTGCACGTGGCCCTCGGTGTGAGCTGACTCAGTATCGTCTGACGTGCCACCTGTTTCGAGCCATGTCTGGGCCCCAGAGCCTCTGACCGTGTGGGCCGCGGGTGCCTGAGTGATCCGTGCTTCCCCAGAACCATCTGTCAGTTGCCTTTGCCCACTGAACTCACAGGGACGCCTGCGTTGAAAGTCACAGACTCAGGGCATCCATCGCCATCTTGGAGCAGGAGAGAGCCAGCACATGCTCCAAAGCAGAGACCGGAAGACACGCATTCAAGCCCCGCTCTAGGCCAGCACTTCCCTCCCTGGCCCCTGAGTCCCCTTGTGTAAGATGGGCTGTGGTACGCCTTCCCACACAGGGCTGAACCGAGGAGGACTTCAGTGACTCCTCAGTGTGTCTGAGGGACACACCAGCAGAGAAGGCTGGGCAGGGCTGTGTCATGTGATAGACATGAAGCGTGGCAGTTGCAGCCTGTCAGTTCTCCCTGCTGCCCACCCAGGTCTGCCCAGGAGAGCCCAGGGCAGTGGGTTCGTGGCCAGAGACTCTGGGAACCAGCAGATCGGCTGTGAGCCTGTGGCCTCAGCTTCCTCATCTGCAAAGGGGAGACAACAAGCCCTTCTGTGTGAGTGAGCAAGTGGCGTCAGCCAGCCCACGCAGTGCCCCGTGGACCTACAGCAGACGCCGGCAGCCCCAGGGTTTTTGCTGCCTGGACCCGTCCTGTCCCTCCACCCCCCTCTGCCCAGCATCTCCTGCTCCTACTCTTGTACACCAGCTTCTCGGTGAGTCAGACCACAGTGGCCCAGGATGCCAGCAGCTCCCAGGCCACAGCGTGGGACACCAGGTTGCCCTCTCCTCCCCTGTAATTCTCTCCGGCACCTGCCATAAGTCCACCAGCCCGGCCCTCACAGGGTGATGTCCAGTGGTGGGGAGGCACCTCGTCCACCCTGAGTGGGAGATGGGGTCACCACCCATCCAGGTCTCCGCTGGGCCAGGATGCGGCAGCCCAGGCATGTGGGCAAAGCCTCCCTGCGCGGCTATCCGCGCCCACGTGTGAGGCCTGCCCCCCTTCCTCCCGCAGTTCCGCTCTGCCCGCTCCAGAGCAGATGACAACAGAGATGGAGCATATGGGCCCCAAAGTCACCGGCATTCTGGGAAAGTGACACTGCTGCCCCAGGCTGGGGGAGGGGCCACCACACAGCACAGCGCCTGCCTTTGTTCTTCAGAAGGGCACAAAGGTCGCAGAAGCCCCAGAAGGAAGTCCTGTCCCATCTAGGCAGTGATAGAGAGCAGCCATGGTGGGCGTGGGTCTGGGAGGCCGCACAGGAGCCAAGATGGTCCTTCCCTGCCTCTCCTGCCTCCACCTCACCCAGGCGAGGTTGTGGGTGTGAATCTTGGTGCTTCACCTGTGCCCCTGGGCCCCATCCAACCTGGCTTCAGCTGCCCTGCTCCCCTGGGATCCCGGGGGTAAGCCCCACAGTGCCAAGAGCAGGTCACAGAAGCACCGGCGGGGCTCTGACCCACTCATCATGGCCTAGTGGAGTCCCTGCCTGGGCTGGGGGTCCTGGCACCTTCTTAGCTGAACTTCCACCCCTCACCCCTGACTGTGCTCTGTGTGCCTCTAGCTGGCCCCATGTGGGGCATTCTGGGTGGCTCTTCTCATCTCAAGTGAGGGGACACACCTTGCCCAGGCAAAGAGGCCAGGCATGTACTCTTCCATCCAGAGATCCCTCAGGGCTGACCATGGTCCATCCGGGCCACAGAACCCTTCTCTACCCTAGCCTTACCCTCAAGGTTCCTACAGACACTGGGGCCAGTACGCCAAGGCTCAGTCCTCAGATGATGAGCTGATGGAGAGGCAGGTGATGCCTCCAGCAGTTTCCACAGGGCTGCGGGCAAGGCTGGGTATGATGAGAAGGCCTTGGAGCCCCGCCCTGCCATGAGGTGAGGGGTGGAGGGTCAGAAATCTGTAGCCCCTCAGCAGGGAGGAGAGGGGCTGGGCATGGGACCTTCCCCCTCCTCTTGCTGGCCTTCATGCAGGCCCCCCAGTCTCAGTGGGAGGGGGTTGCCA